CTTTGAATATACCCATAACTCTAAGCCGCTTCTCACACTTGAGGTTTACTAGTTTTTAATTTCAAAATGTATCGAAATGAAACACAGATGGGATGAAAGACAGATGTGTAATACTGTCCAATACTAACCAGGAGCAACCCTGATTAGCTTTCAAATTGACAATGTCAGGTGCGTTCAGGGTGGTATGGCAGTAGATATGACAGATGCATAATAAAGTATTTAATGTTTGATCACAGGTATAATAGGTCCAATAATCAGTTGTTGATCTGACTCATACAGAATCAATATACTAATGTATGGAAGCAAATGAAAATATAAACTGATAGTATTAAAATTGTAAAGGCAAAAATATGACTTCCAGAAAAAATTCCAAAGTGAGAAAGAAATAACTGAGTTTTATCAATCAAGTCTTTTATCATATGCAACAGACCATGAGTATAGAAGTCCACTTATGAGTCAGGAAACAGATTTGGTCTACATCATATGAAGTTTGAATAAGGGAATTTTATTAGAGTGAACAAAAAGATCTTACACTTATTTTAGCATTTATTTACTTCAGTTGCAACCCTTAATGTTGGTTTCACGATTTTGGACAGATACACTCATAGTGGTGTTAGAAAGAATGGTGTGGAGTGTGGACACCCAAGACATGGAGCTTTCCCTGGGGATAGACTGTCTTCCTGCTCCCTTAGAAAGCTCCAACTGCTGCAGGCAATGGTACCTTAAAGAGAAGAAAGACAGATCCTGCTGGGAAGACAGAGCAGAAACAGGTAAAGTCAGTGTCCAGGTCCAGGAATATGGGGACTCGGTATGTCCATATTGGGGCAGTTGGTGCTTGAAAGCTGCTATCTCCTTACTGAGCTTTTTCATTTGCAATTTTATCATGAAAATCAAAGGTGCTGTATTTTCCATATAGACACACCTCCTAGCTGACCTTCACTTCCACTTTCCTTGTGTTCTTGAGCTCCGCAGCCTTTTGAGTGTTTGCCTTCTGTCACTTTCCCCTGGCATTCACTTCTGCAGTCCAGCTTTCTCCTTGTTTCCTTTCTGGAGCTGGTTTTCAAGCATGTTACAAAAGACCCATCCTGCTAGTAACATAATCCTTTGCCAATTCATGACCTTCAAGAACAGGAAAACTTTAGCTCTTCAACTTATATGTTTATGTGCGTTTGTTTTATAAATTTAAAAGAGGTGGAAAAGTCATCTTCCAAGCAGCATGAAGATGGCTGAGGCTGGCCAGGCAGGCTGCATTAGACTGGTTGAGGACTAGTGAGAATGATGAAGGCAGCAAGCATTGCATTGCCCTTGAAGGGTGTCATTTTCTGCTTTTTGGCTCTTGCCAGAAGGTAGAGCAGAACCAACAAGTTACATGCTGCCAGCATAAGAACCACGTGTTTGCCTCTGAGCCAGATGATTCCAAGTCGGGTCCCCTCAGCCAGGTTGTAAACATGGCATCACCTGTCAGAGAATATTCTTCCTATCCTGTCTTTTAAAGTGATTTTCTAGAGGTATGATTTGTGTGCTATAAAATTTACAAATTGTACAAATTCATGACTTCTACGCTGTAAAATTTTATGATTTTTCTAGGAAACTTACTAAGTTGTGCTACTATTACCAAAAAAAATTTTAGAATATTTCTGTTGCCCCTAAAAGATCCTTTGTGCCCACTTGCAGTAGACCCTTGTTCCCAACCCCCAGTACCAGGCAACCACTAATCTATTTCAAGTCTCTATTAGCCTTCTTTTGCTATTTTAAGTAACTGTAATCATACAGCTTGTGGTATTCATGCCTGGGTTTTTTCACTTAATCTAATGTTTCTGAAGTTCATCCAAGTTGTAGCATGTTCACTAATTATATTATATTCCATTTTATGAACATGCTATACTGTTTATTGCACTGATGGATATTTTAATCATTTCCATTTTTTGGCTATATGAATGACACTTCTTGATTCCTAATGAATTATAAATGATAGAAAGGCTTCAAATTTGGAGTCATGTATCTCAGGTTCCCAGTTTAGGTATTTACTACCTCAATCAACTGTAAGATTTGTTTCCTCATATAGGAAGTGGAGCTACTTAACCCCTTCCTGGTTCTGTCCCTAGAGCAGTTAAATGAATCAAGTGAGATGACGTATGTGAAGTGCTTTGTGAATAATAAAACACAGGACAAATAAAAGGCATTGCTACTAAAGTAGCTTTCTAGCTGGATTAAAATGTACTAGATATTTCCCAAGATTCTTTCTATATTCTTGGAACAAACTATGAAGCCTTTGGGCTGCAGGAAATATCTACACATTTTTTTCTGCAAACTTGGATTTCTCACTATTTCCTTTATCAAAGCCTATTCTTTAGAAAAATTTTAATACCATTCTCTCTTAAATTCACTTATTTTAAAACGATTTGTTGTTGATTGTCAAATAAAAGGCTTTGTTTCCTGTTGAACAGGGGGTTTTCAGAGTCCTGAGAATCACTGTCAGAAGTATACAACTCGGAATAATTGATGTTCAAATTTAATCAGTGTACCCTCCAACCCACAAGTTAGCCTCAGGTAACTTTAAAACAAAGAATTACGTAGAGACTGAGGGATTCTAATTAATCAAAATCAAGTCTAAGTAAATGTTAGCATCTTTCAGTCAAAGGTGATTAAAATTATTGCTTCATTGAAACAATATCAAACCAACTGGATATCTATGTCTTAGGGGTATTCAGACATAGAACATAGATAATTGACCCTTGTGTGTCATGCATAGAATTTAACTCCCACAAAGCATCAAAGTAGCTTCCTTGAAAAGGCAAAGTACACTTTACATCAAACAAAAATAACCGCATATTGATGTCTTATACTCACTTAACCCAAATGTATGGTAACAACTCATCTAACATTATAGGCTCCGTGAAGTTTTACCTTAAATCTTTGTGGGAGATCCCAGTGTGGAAGATTTAGGACCTAAGAGCAATGACTGTTCCATTTACTGGAATGTGAAGCACAGAATGTGAGTTCCTGTCCAATGCCTTTGGTGGAATCACTGGCCTGTCTAGTGCTGGAACTTAGGCACTCCCAGTGCCCAGATTCAAATTACTAGACCGTCTCCTCCTGAAAACAGAAAATCCCCAGACATCTCCAACACTCGCCGATATTATATAATATGGGCCACTGAGGTCAAATGAGTCTACTGTTTCCACACATCTTTCCCTCTTTCTCCCTCTGTCAGTAACTGTATGATTGGAACTTTAAAAATCAAGAGGGTGGGAGGCTGAAGCAGAAGGACCACACGTTTGAGCCTAGCCTAGGCACCCTGACTCAAAAACAAGAGGGGGTTGCTGAGGATCAATCCCTAGCGCCACAGAAAGAAAGGAAAGGAAAGGGAAGGGGGCGGGGGAGGAGAGAGAGAGAGGTTTCTCTGCAGTACTGCACCAGGAGACCAAGTTTCTTGACCTGAAGCTCTGGCGCTGGCAATACCACTCTGTGATGATAATAGGAAGAGCACGGATTTCACATGCACTTGCTCTGTGTTGGGTATAGTGCACTTATATCTTGTTCAAAATCAAGAAGGTGATGATTTAAGGCCTTGGTTCAAACTAGTTCAAAATCTGTATTTTAATGAGATTTATTTGCATATTTCTTCCAGAACACTATAAAGGTAATTAGTATCTTTCTGTAAATTCTTATGTTTTTAAATTGACAAATGAAATTGTATACATTTATGGCATAAAATATGTTTACATTGTGGAATAAACAGCTATTAAACATATGAATTACCTCATATACTTAATCATTTTTTATAGTGAGAACACTTAAAGCTGTTTTCTTAACAACTTTCAAATGTACAATGCTTTGTTATTAACTATACTCTCCATGTTTTGGACTCGGTCTCTGTAACTCATTCTTCCTGTCTGATACTTTGTTTCCTTTGGCAGCATTTCCCTAGTTTCCCCTCCCACCTCCGGTCCCTCATAAACACCATTCTACTTTCTACTTCTGAGTTTGTGGTATTAGATTCCATCTGTAAGTGACATCATATTGTAGTTGTCTTTCTGTGTCTAGCTTACTTAACTTAATACAATGTCTGTTTGAAAACAAAGTACATCTCCTTGCCTACTGCATTACATATGGTACTGCAATAGCATGACAGTACAATGCGTTATGTATGTGTGCATTATATTAAATATACATGTGTATCTATGTATATATAGTCCATTTTGCTTAATGCATAATTTGAAGTAGCTTGGAATTTTTGTCTTAAATAATTTCTGATTTTGAGGGTGGCTATATACACAAGAATAGCATGACTTGAAACCAAAAATTGGGTAGGAATTTCCGGTTAAAGGTTAGTGACAATAAAAAGGCTTCAGTGTGTTTCTTTGTGTCATGAAAGACTCCATCTTGTAGTTCCCATGCCTTCTTCCCCATTTGTAACTGATTTTTCAAAACCCATGCAACAAAGAGGTGTTACCTATGAATACACGCTATATATTTATGCAATTGTTTTCACATTTCTGCACTTCATGTTATGGCCTGAAAATGTGTCCTATGACTGATTAAAATGATTAAACCATATTCTTCAAGCGACATTTAGTTTCAGTATGCTTGAAAATTTTTTGGCCAGAAACAATAGTACTATTTGATGATAACCAACAGGAAACAAAACAAAACAAAATACACTGAAGTGATAGTTCAGATCTGGTCTTTTCCACTGGACTCTGTATGATACAAAACAAAATATACAGGGACTACAACAGCTACAGACAGCTTGGCAACAGAAGATGGGATCCGGACTCCAGCGTGAGAGTCCACAGTGCTTATACTGGCACCACTGTAGAATGTTTGGCTTCCCTGGGGCTAATTGGGAGGAACAGCTGTGGCCTCTCCCAGATACAATGACACACTCGAAGAGAAATAGAGTACTAATTAGATAGGAATTAATTTCTCTTTCCATCAGCCTTCTTAAAAATAAAAACACTGATAGAAAAGTCCAAAATGTGGGAAGCACAAAATCCATTTGTTTGGGATACAACAATTGCTTCTGTTCTTAAGCTAAGTGTTTCTACTACTTCACAGATGCTAAAATAACCAATTTCAAAACAGATATCATGTGCAGTTAATTTATATCTTTACATCCAAGAATTTCTTGAATATATTTATCCAAAATACATTACAGAAAATGTCAGTTTTGGTGTACTAGAGTTTAACATCTGAAGTATCATATAACAGACTTACACTCTCAGTATTATTTTTTATTTATTTATACCAATATTTGTAGATAACAATGCATTTTAACTACGACTAAGAAATCAACATAGGAATTAAGAAGTCATGTATACAAAACATTACAGCTCAGATTAAATGCATTAAAGTTTAATTTATGTAAGAATATATTCTCTAGAAACTACCAGAGGTTTAAACTATAGCCCTAATTAAACAATTTTATACTTATGTTCTAAAGATAACTGATTAACTGCAACTCAAGAAATTTACAAACCAGTGAGGCATTACTATTAAAAGAATATAGTTACTCAACATAAAAATGAAAATATAAGAAATGTACACTACTGAAGTCTAAGAATAATAAATTTAGATAATCAATTACTAGTATTATGCAACCAGTTCAGAAATTCAAAACTATCATTTCACCATGAGGTCGCTGATTATTTTTGTCTGGGTCTTGTATAACATTCATGCCCTAGGGAATATTTTTGTCTTTGAGGAGAGACTGGGAAACAAGACAGATGTAGAGCCTGCCCTGACAGAGCTTCCAGTCTAGCAGGGAAGAACAGATGGGCAGTTTCTTGCAGTTCAAGAAGTGTTGGGCCGAGGTCTCCCATCCTAGCAGAAGCTAGAGCTCAGTTGAAATCTTAGGAAAAAGTGAGTTAATCAGGTAAAGAGGAGCAGAAAGAAATGAACTCCCAGGAAGAGGGAGAAGGAAATGAACAGGCTTGAAGTGCAGAAACCTTGATCATCTACAGTAGTAGTTCCTGTGCAGAGGTTCTTATATAACTCACTAGACCACGGTGACATTTTCACTCATCCACAGAGAAAAGAGGACAGTGTGGTAAGTGCCTAAAATCATTCAATTTTAATGACTCAGTTTACAACATCTTTTCTAGCATTTAAAAAAATAGATGACCCGATTTTAGAATTAATAAAGCAAAAACTATGTATAAAATTTTCAAGTCTTGGCATCACTGTTAAAAGAATAATCCTCTGGAAGGCATATAATTAATAGGGAGAAAGGAAAGAGAGCCATCAAGAGATAAGAGTAAAGAGGAAGGCAGGAGTTAGATTACCAAGGGCCACGTGAGAACTTTGGACTTTATCCCATGAGCAATGGGAATGATTTTAACGACTTTAAACTCTACTTACATTTATAACAGGTAATTCTGGGGTGCTGTGTGTCAAGTACATATGGGACAGAGCAAGACAGCCAGCAAGCAAGCCAGATAAGTAGCACTGTATCATCCCAGGAAAAAGGAGCTCGGAGTCTGGCTTAGGATCAAACTGATGAGACTGAGCAGAAAAAGATGACTTCAGAAGACAAACTTAATGGTACTGGTGATTTGTTATAATGGGAGAGGAAATGGGGTGGTCAGTGCAGATGTCCAGTCTTTTTCCTTTGGAAAAGGAATTAATCATTGTTCCAGCTATTGAAATAGGGAATGTAAGAAAAAGAGCCTTTCTGTGGAGGAACATAGTGAGTTCACTTGGGAACATGTTGAATTTGAGGTGCCTTTGTGTTCAAATGTCCATTGGGCTGTTTGTCTATATAGGTCTCAAGCACCTGAGGGCAAGAGCTGAGATTAGATATAAGTCTTAGAATCACCAACAAAATGATTGAATCATGCAATAGATGAAATTTCCCAGAGAAGACATAATTACTAAAGGATTCACAGCAGATGGATGAGCAATGTGAAAGAAGACAGAGCAGCCAAGAAGGAAGGAGCAAAGCCAAGAAAACAAGGAATCTGTATAATGACAACCAAGGAAGGAAGTCCACTTCAAGGAGGCAGCTGCCAACAGTGTCAGGTGCTGTAGGCATCAACTAGAAGAGGGGCTGAGAGGTGCTCTTTCGATTTAGCAACAAGGAGGATGTCAGGATCCTTGAAAAGAGCTATGGAGGGAGCAGATACAAGGCCACGTAGTGTGAACCTGCAGGCTAGAAGGAGCTCTTTCCACAATGGTCTTTCAAAGGCAGAGGCAAAATGGCCCCCACAACTAGTGGGAGATGTGGGTTTAAGAAAGAGCTTATTTTCTTTCTTAAACATGAAAAGTTGATTATGAACATTGCATGAGCCAGTTGATAGGGAGAATTTGAAGATTTGTAGCCGGTGAAGATAATCAATAGAAATTCAAACGCAGTACAAGACACAGACTGTCTTTTAAAAAATGTCAATGTCTTTAACATTCCCATAAGGACACAATATACCTATAAGATTGTCAATGTGTTTAAATATACTTAAGAAAGTAAAATGATTCCAATAAATTCTCACATTTTAAAGGAATCATATTTTTAAAGATTTTAGAAATTGTGTTTTAAAATATTATTTTTAAGTTACAGCAATCTTAGCTCTTGTCCATAGAGATCATACTCTTTAAATAATATATATCTTTGAATAGCTGGTGGTAGAGGAAGCTTCTCCATGGAGGCTGGCTGGCAGAGTCGCTGAAGTCCCATAAGTCTTCGAATTTTTAATCAACATAAATGTTTTAACGAACAAGGATTCTCTAAAATGAATGGGAACAACAGAAAAATATGAATAATATTAATGGATTGACCTGAAAGCTACAGACTGTTTCAGAATAGCACGAATAGTGTCATTCTGAAAAGTATGTGTGCATTCTTTAAGAAGTGGTGATTTGGACTAAAATTCTTATTGCAGATAAGTTTCCTAGAATACTCTCTGAGAATATAAGCCCCATGTCTCTGGGCCAGGAGCAGAATCTTGCCCCTGGTGGATATTTGACTAAAATCTGTTAAATGAATAAGTGAACTTGATTTAAGAAAGTAAATGCTCATATTTCCTCCTGTTTAATTAAGTTAAAAAAATTTAGAACTGAATGATATACAGGTATATTTCTTTACTTCCTCTCTTTCCTACCAATCCAGGACACATCAATGCAAATGATTCCATAAATCATTCATGGTTCAACCTGAGGTTTGTTTCCAGTGTCTTTTTAATGATTCTTCAAATATCTGATGTTAGCCATTATTTTTAATTCTTACTTTATATTGCAATTCCTATACTGGTATAAGATCCAGCAAATGAACGCATGAGAGGGCAGCAAAGAACACAGGTTTAGACATAGACTCTGGACTCATCTTGGATTAAAATCCTGGGTTTATCCCTTAGTATTCATGTGACCTTGGGCAAGTTACTTAATCTCTGTGATTTTAACATTCCCATCTATGAATTATGGATAATTATAGGACCTATCTCATAGGGTCAGTTGAAGATTAAACAAGTTAATTTATATAAACTAATAGAAAAGTGCTTGTGTGCCTTGTATTCTTTCAATAAATATTAACTGTCAAACAATTCAGTAGTAACACAGATCACATTTCTGATACATTTGAGATTACAAACCTGCAAACTACTTTTTAAAATTTAAAACAACTTTTTCCAAAAATTACTGAGGCAAAATGATTGTTACCAAAATAGACAGGAAAAAAATCATCTTTATAAAAAATCACCACTATTTTTTCCTGAACAATTACACTGCCTTACTTATACCTGGAGGAATCCTGACATCCAGTGGTTGAATGGGATCATAACAATCAGTGATACAAGATTCCAACAACAAACACCTTTCTGGCTATATTCTCACTTAGAATGTCTTTTTAGAGTAGTTGAAATTGAGGATTCTTTTGCAATAAAAACATAAGGACAATTAATTCCCATTCAGAAAAAAAATCTATGCTGTCTAGACTAGAAAGTACTGTAACATTGAAGAAAGAGCCTGTATTTTTTTTTGGTACTGGGGATTGAGCTCCTGACCTTGTGGTTGTGCAGCAGGTGCTGGAAAGGAGCCTGTATTTTGAAATAAGACAGGTAAGGGTTTAAATCTTTGCTTTGTTATTTTTCTATGGCTAACTCTGGGAAATTAATTTATCTAATCCTCAGTGGTTTTTTTCTCTTTGCAATCTCAAAATAGCTTAAACTTTTTATTGAAAAATAAGATAAATACAGAGAAACAATTCACATAAATAGTTCCATAAGTTATTGTAAGTGATTTTTTTTATTGCCTTCCAGGTCTTGAAATAGACCTTGAAATAGAACTTTGTTGGCCACTCTAGAATTTCCTCTATAATCTTTCCAATGTTACTCTTCCTTCCCACATAAGTAGCTACTATTCCAACTTGTATAGCAATCGTTCCCTTTAGAGTTTTATCTCCTAAATGTACTATCCTTACACTGTAGCATTGACAACACCTTCTTAAAAATTTTTGATATATCCTTTAAGTCTCTTTTAATCTGCAGGTTCTCCATTCCATTTTAATCCTTCTAATCTTTGAAGAATCTAAATGATGTGCATTTTCCCACAGCCTGAATTGTGCTAATTGTGCTGTCACGGTGCAGTTCCATGTTCTACACTGTTGTCTCTATTTCTTGAAAGTTGATTGCTGGATTCAGAGATTTGATCAGATTAAAGTTTTATTTCTTCAGCAAAACTATGTTCTTTCTTCAGAGGCCACATAGTATGATATTAGCAGCTGTTAATGTTCAATGACTCTATCCATTAGCTTACTGGGGAGTGCAACAAAATGGTCATATCTATTCATATAATTTATTTTTTATTTATTATTTGAAATACTTTTACAAAAGAATGTTTTTACTCATCTACTTCTTGGTTACTAGTGGCACCAATCATACAAATAAGGAAGAATATACAGCATAAGTATTTTCTTTTATTAATTTCTCAAATTGATTTTCTGTCATTCTTTGGAGGTGACCAGTTTTTAAAATGTCATTTTAAAATGTGTTGGGTATGTTTCAACCAATTGAAGTAATTATCCTTTAGAAACTTAAATTTTGGCCAGTGGGAGTATCTTCAAGCTGGATCCTGAATTCTTTTGACAAGATTCTTGTACTCTTTGAGAGTATTTTTACTACCTGGTATTAAAAGGCATTCCACGTTCCTCTTGCACATTTTCTTCCCCAGATCTGGACTCACCCATTTCTCCAAGAAACTCTTGTTTCTTTTGTAGAAATTGGCATTTCCAAGCCAAAATCTGAATGCTCAGGTGTTTACTGCTACTGAGTTCATCACTATTTCTAAGCCTTTCTGTAGGCTGACACACACATGCGTGTGTGCGTGTAGTTATACACAGTGTACATGAACGCATATATTTTCAAGGTAAAATAGCTTATAAGATCATATTGATACTTCCAATTTAAATTAAGACTTCAGATTTTTTTTTAACATCTTCTGTCTTGCACCTGGACTTCCTTTCTTTTACATGGATGACCCTGAATCTCAGGATATGAAGAATAATGGAATTAGAATGTCCTTCATTCTCAGCATAACAACATTAAAGGTATGTAACTAGCAATATTTTAGAATATTTTAAATGAATATATATTAGTAAATATTATTTGATTTATTTACCAATATTTAAAAGTAAATATTTGTGCCATGTTGATGTTACCAGAGAATATTACCAGTGTACATTTATTGTATCTTCTACCTTTTAACTCTGTGTTGATATTATGTTGAATGTTAGTCCTATTGAATACTGGTCTTTATGTTGCTATCTTTCTAGTCATTTTGGGTTGATAAGGATTGTTTCTTAGTGGATTCTTTAATGGGAAATCATAGGAACAAATATTTCTTGAGTCCTTGCTTGCTGAAAATCATTTGCCTATATAGCCAACTCAAAGCCAGTTTTGCTGTTACCCATCCTTGGCTCGGATCTTCTTCTCTGGGGAGTATTAACTATGTTATTCCACATTTTTTAGCATAAAGTGTTGTTAATTAAAAGTTTAACATTAATATATATTAATCTAAGTTTTTTCCTCATATATCATTTGTTCTTTTGACCTATCTGCCCAAAGGATATGGGTAATTTGGAGTTTCAGATCTTTCTTTTTTATTGTGGAAGGTTTTTTTCTTGAAATTTAAAAAATTATATTTGTTTGTTTTCCTGGATTTGGTTTCCTTTTCAAGGAATACCGTATATAATTCGTATGTTGACTCTTTATTGTTTCTTTTCAATATTTATCAGTCTTTCAAATCCTTTTATTTATTTCTTCACTTCTGTTTTATTTTAAAAAGTTTTAAAATTTCATCTTCTATGTCTCTTAAGGTTTTACATATTGTGTTATTAGTTCTTGATTTTTTTCTAGTTCGGTCTTCATACTTGAAAATATTATTTTCTTTTATTTTGAATTACCTTCCTCAGTTCTATTACCTCGTTCTTTAATTTTCCTAATTTTGACCTATGTTGTTTTTTCATGAATCATTTTCCTATGCACTTTAGCTCACTTTTAAATAGAATGTTTAATTCTGATCAGTTTATGGTTTATGGTGTATTTTGTCTGTGAGAATATTATTTTGTTCCTCCTTTTTTTCTTATAACTATAATGAGATTTGACTGTGCTACTTTTATGTTGATCATTTTTATGTGAATTTAATTTTCTTAAATTTTTAGAAAAATGGTTAAGATAGCTCTTCTAAGTTTACTGTTTTTTTTCCTTCAGTGATCCCAAATCAGTTGAGTTGTTCCTTGAGATCTCCAGCTCCTGCTTGCCACCCAATTTTTTTCATATAGACCCTCTTTTGTTCCTGTCCTGTTTGGTTTTGATTTTACTTCCAATGAGGGCTTCAGTCCACAAAGGGAGCTCCAAGAGGTCAGTTTCAAGAATCCATAGGGTCAATACTGTTTGTAATTCTCTTTATTTGTAATAATTTAGTTCTGAAAATATCTACATTTATTAAGTATTTTTAATACTGTGGACACTATGCTAAGTACATTACATATTATTTCTCTCTGTTTCCCCAATCCCCCATTCTGGGATAAAACAAAACCCAGGGCTCAAGCATGGTCACCAAGTGCTCTACCACTGAGCCACAGCCCTAGCACCATTAATCATCTCTTTAAATCCTCACAGCAGCATTCTGAGGTAAAAGCTACAATAGCTCCACTTTGCAGTGGGAAAAACAAGGCATGAAAAGGATGATCAATTTGCTTAGTCGCCCAGGTAGTATGACTATCTTGGCTTTTGTTATAAAAAATAAAAACTCCTTCTCTTTTTGGAGAAATAAAAATAATATAGTAAACCGTTGCTTGTTCCCATGAACACATTACATATGGACAAAATAAGCTATCAATTCTACTCCTAAGGAAGGCCAAAATTCCTTCTCGTCCTAGATATATCAGATTCTAGAGTTTAACTTCTATCTTTACAATATTGCATTAGTCATCAAACTTCTTTCTGTTTTAGTTGCTGAAAGTTTCTTCCACTATAGAACTCATTCCAGAAGGCTGATTTAGGTACAAGTGTCAGATTATTTAAATGTCATGTAACGTTCTATGGTGTCTTTTTAAACTCTATGAAATATCCAAGTAGGTTTTAGAAGTTTATTTTCTTAAACCTGTAATTTGAAGAGAAAACACGTCTAATCTATGACTTTTTTTCAAGGTTCTACTTGATTTAGAGTAATTAAAAATTTATTTTAAAATATTTTTAATTTTAATTTTTGAAGTTGTAGGGATCAAACACAGGGTCTTGCAATGCTAGACAAGTGCTTTACCACTGAACCCCACCCTCAAGTTCTCATGAAATTTTCATATGATTCACTTTCATGATTATAAGTTAGACTTTTACCTAGAGAATATAAAATGCCCTGCCTATTATAAAAGACTTTGATGGTAGGAATTTGTCAAAGATCTGAGAGAAAGCATGTCATAAAGAACAATCCAGTCTTTTCCATTCATTCATTTACTCTTTAAGTATTTATTAAATATTTACTACTCACTAGGTGTTTACTAAACCTTGAGAATACGAAAAAGAAGCATAATCTGTCTATGCCCAAATGGAGATTGTAGTCTACATATTATACAGTATTATGGAAGTTAATTGTTAAAAGAGCCCCAGACAAAATGTTAATAAAGCCATAGTATTACTATAAAAATCAAGAGTTGGAAATTATGAAGGAAACCTTAAAATTTGTTTCTTACAACAAAGAAATATTAAAAATAACTTTTAAAATACCCCAGATAATTCTAAATAGAGAGTGAAGAACTAAAGAATCAAAGACATTAAGAAACTTTCCTTATGTACATTTTTAATAAAAAATTATAGGCAAAACATTTGTTTTTACCCAATATTTGGCGTATCTCTGGCCATTCTCTCTGTACTTCTAGTGCAGACTTCAGTTTAGCACACAGAGGGACATAATCCAGGTAATCAATTAATACACGAATAACGCTGCCTACCAGGTGTTTCATCCAAGGAACTGTAATAAACTCACAGAACTGAGAGAATTGAATTGAATTTAGTAGTATTCTTAGTATACCACACATATGTAGCACTCAATTTTATTAGGAAAAATATACTCTGTCTTTTTATAGGAAATAATGGATCACTACTAGTAATGAACAAAAATGAAAAAATAATTTACTTGCCTGTTTCTGTGAACTGCTAACCCTGGAGACTGGCATGACTTTTATGTGACTATAATTAACACAATTTAGAAGAATCATATTTTTCCCTATCTGGCACCAATATCCCACCAAATAAGCATTAAGTGATTAATTGCATACATTTTTATATTCTATATTTAGTTTCAAAGTCAAGAAAAATAAGCAATATATTTTCTTGGGTAACTTTATACTTATGTCTTCATATTGCAAACAAAAGAAAATCAAGAAATGCATAAAAATTAAAATTGATTTTTTTTTTCCTTATAACATCCCTAAGTGAGGGAAAGTTTATGAGTTAGGCTGCAGAATACCAATTCTCCTTAACAGCACATGAAACATAGTCCAGGATAGAGCATAGGTTAGGCCACAAAACAAGTCTTAACAAATTTAAGAAAGTCAAAATTGGGACTGGGGATTTAGCTAGAAAGTCAAAATTATGTCAAGTATCTTTTCTGAGCATAGTAATATAAAACTAGAGATCAACAACCAAAAGAACTTTGGGAACCTTACTGATACCTAGGCCTGAAACAACATGTTCTTGAGCAACGATTGGGTAAATAAAGAAATCAACAGGGGAAAATAAAAAATAATAAAATTTTCTGAGGCAAATATAAAAGTTAGGACAATAACCTGATATGCAGAAGAAAGGGATGTAACTCACCGGGTTATCTTTTATTACACAAGATGTCCATCCTGGCATTACCTCTTCTTCTATTTCTGCCCATACAAATGAATTTCCAAAGATGTCCCCATGCATGCAATCAAAGCACATCTCCACTTGATAGCCATTATTCAGCAACAGCCTCAGCATAACCTCATCATTTAGGGCATACTGAATGGCACTGGGGAAATGAGTGTCATTCACATGCATAAAATAGCAATTGACATTGGCTCCATGTAAGAGAAGCAGCCGGACAATTTCATGATTATTGGCCCTCACTGCCACAAGCAGACAGTTGAGGGGATCCAGGTTTGGGTCTGCACCTGCAGCCAGAAGGACTTCTGTGCAATGGATGTCGTTATTAGAAACGGCAAAGTATAGTGCAGTCTTCCTGTCATCATCATAGCTCTGGGAAATGTGGTCTGCAAGTAGCGTGTTGACATCAAAACCACTTTCAATGAGCAGTTCGAGGCACTGTGCATTCTGTCCATCTGCTGCAGAGTGAACTGGAGTTAGCCCACTTTTCCAAATTGCATTTTTGGATGTTACTGGGATAAGATATTTCAGTGCACTGAAACAAACAAACAAATATCTCTCAAATATCCACGAGGTATAAATAAAATTAAGAAACTAAATAAATTGTTTTCCTCACTAGAAAAGTAAATGTGATTTGCCTAATTTCTCTTATTTTTTCTGCATAACCTTATATTAAAATATTTAACCTTTGTCCATCAAGCTCCTACTATTTTGTTTGATGTAATTTAGTTCAGTTTTGATTATCTTCCTCTTTCAAATACTCCCAGGGGACATACTGGGTCTTATATGTTTGGCTTTAGATACGAGTCCTAAGGATTCCTCCCACCTTCCAATTCTTCTCTGAATGATATAATTTTTATTAGCAGCTGATACTATTTAATAGAAATATTTTGAAAAGCTCCTCTGGTGGCATGAAAGAAATCTTCATAATCTTGACTATTAGAACCATGGCATCATAGGAAGTGAGAGCTGCAATCAAACTTGAATGACATTTAGAATAACCCCTTCTCTTAACAGAAGAGTGAAGTCTCTAGGGTGAAAACGACTTGGCTAAGATCACATAGTTACATGTAGAGACTGGAATTTTGACCTTAAGATTCATATTAATTATTTCTTAACTGACTCATAAGCATTCTATTATTTAATATTGGCCATGTATATATCCTATCTATTTCTATATAACTTGCAATTGAATTTTTAACCAAAAGAAGAGTCTTCATTATTCCATCAAACTTACATCAGTCTCATTGAAATAACTGACCTCAGCTTATGTTTCTAAGTACATGTGATAAATAGTTGTGAATTTCACACCTGACTAACCAAATAGACATGCATAAGAGACACAAGCAAGGATAACTTAATCTCTTGTGCCTAATTCAGTGCTACCATGTGTGAATTTATGAACACTGGGAGTAAATCCAGGTTAACTTTAACAACATGTCATTTAACATCAACTATGCATCATTAGCGCTTAGCCAATGTGGCCACTGAAAATGATAACACATAATCACATCAAAGTTTTTGAAGTTATGAAATATATCTCATTGCCTAAAACTACCTCTTACAGTGGGTATTTAATAAAGTGATTCTAGATTTATACTGGTGTGTTGATAACACAAGATTTAAAAATGCGTTCAACTAGTTGTATGGAAAAAAGAAATTAAACTTATAATGAAATTTTCTATTCAAGAATACATTTACCTTTATACCATAATATCCTGGAGATGCTAGGAAATAGAATAATTTATAATATTGTTACAAATTTTAATCCTTTGTCAAGGGCAAAATTTTAGAAACTCCGTAGACTTTTGTTACCATGTTTTAAAATATACACTCTTGAGCAGCTTGTACAAAATTTTCAATTATAACTTATTCCATCTAAAAAGAGAATAAAAGAGCATTTCTTTTCACTAGTAAAGTAGTATAAATTGATTTTGTTCAAGTACAAGGACATAATAAGACAGAAGAAAATCAAACAACTTCTAAGCATTTAAATACAAACCTTGTGAATATTTTGCCTATTTCTCTTTGGATTTGGGGCAGCATTGTATACAGAGATGTGTGTGATTATACTGTATACACAATTTTGGCACTTTTAGTATAAAGTTATCACCTGATAATGCATTACTCACAGATAATGTCCCTCATAGGCAGCTCGGTGTATGGGAAGATGCCCTGCTCTGTTAGGTACATTTCCGCTTCCTCCATATTCCAGCAGGAGAGCAATACAGTCAGGATTACCACCTCCTGCTGCCTCAAACAACACTGATGCCCCATCATCCGCCAAAGCAAACACATCACCACCTGGAAGTATAAACATGTGGCACAGGGTGACTGAACAGCATTGCTAAGATCATTCCTTTAAAAACAATCTGTTGCTTTCTTTTCTGGTTAGAACTTAAAATTAAACCAACAAATTAATGTCAACAATGGACAAATGATTCCAGGAAAAAGGAATCATTAGACTTTTAAAAATAATTAATGACAATAATTAACACTATCTACTTCAACAAATATTTATTGACTACACAGTGTGTAAAAACGGTATGTATGACCCCAAAATGAATTAAATTTGACTATTAATTTTAATGGGGAAATGAAACAAAACATCATTAGAGAACATAAATGGTACAACACTCCAGCAACATCAGTACTAGGAAGCATAGTGCAAGAGCAAGAGGACTGGACCTGAGTATGGTTAAGGCCAGTGATTTACTGCTATGCATCTACATATCTGCATCTGTAGGGGAGTAATACATATTATTTCATATGGATTCATATGATGTATAAATGAGGTTACATTGAGACAATTTAAAAAACATTGGCTCATTCCCCATAGATAGTACTTGGGGATTATGTGATCATCCTAGGCTTCATTTACAGCTGAGAAAACAAGAGTAGATGAATTTTTAACATTTTGGGTGAGTCGTGTGGCATATTTTTAAAGTGATCATCCCAGAACATATTACTCACGGATGATGTCCCTCATAAGCACCATGGTGTATAGGGAGATGCCTTGCCCCAGTAAGGTTTATTTTTACTTCCTCCATAGGAGAAAGGGATAGGAAGGTAGTGGCAGCTGGCAGAGACAAGTTTAGGAATTGGGTGCCTTAACTCTTAGTTGTATAGTTATACAAAACACTTTAAGGTTTTAAAGCAGGGCAAGGTCACAATCTGTTGGGGAAAAATAAGGTAGAATTTAGAGAGGAGGTGTTTCAAGGAATTGACTTTGAGTTTTACTGAAGTGTATTCTAGGGGAGGGCAAGGATCTAATCCAACCTAGACAGAGGGAATATCAGGTGTATCTGGGAATAGTGATATTCTATTTTGGCTGGAATATAAGGATACAAGATAGGAGTAGTGAAGCATAAGCCCAGAAAAACGATTCAACTTGATGCAGTAAAGGCTGTTGTAATGGTCCTTTAAGGAGAAGATCCTTAATTGCAGTATTCAGCACATACAGGGAGACTGAAAATCTGGAGAATTGTGAGGAAATGAAATCTCTGGTCCAGAGAAGATGTGAGAGATGCCAAGGATGGCAGCTGGATAGCAAGGAGAGGACAGAAGAGATCTTTTAGGACTTCACAACTGATTAAATTGAAAAATAAAATGATGGAGAAATTAGAGATAAACCTAACTTTCCAGACCTGGTTGAGATATATTATTATACTGGGATGTGGGAAAAGAGGAGGGATTCAGGGTAGGCGAAGACACAGGTGAGACCTGGGTGGAAACCAAGCTGTCTCTAGACAGAACAATTAGAGTGGAGCTTGTAGATCGTACAGGGCTTATTTGAGCAGTAGAATAGGGGTTTATGGTGGAGGCAAGGGATAGATGTGAGAGCCTCATGCTTAGTTACATTCATGGGTGGAAGAGGAGCCCAAGAGGACTGGAGCAGAGGAGAGACCCAGAGGCAGGAAAGACATAAAGGAAGTGGTAATTCTTTTTCACATACCTTTGTGGATTAGATGTTCTAAAACATCACAATGCCCATGCTCTGCAGCAACGCCTAGTGGTGTGACTCCAAATCCATCTCTCAGGTGGACGTTGCCTCCATTGTTTAGTAGCAGAGATATGATATCTTTTCGGCCTTGCTTGGCTGCTTCATGCATTGCTGACCATCGCTTGACACAGGGTTGGTCAAGGCTGGTGTTGTGTTTAATCAGAGCAGATACCATGTCAAAGGAGCCTTTTTTAACAGCTTGAAAATGATTTTTAAAAAGAACAGCCAACAGCAGACATATTAACATGAATAACATAAATAGTATTAAAGTAACTATCAAAATTAATATCAAAATAGATATTAGCTATTAATTTTTATTGTACAAAAGAATATTGTATATCATGTATCCAAATTTCTATTTGTGGAGTATAAATACTGAGGATGACACTATCTTTTCTTTAAGGCTCAGAGGATGGTAAGAGTTTTGTAGAAAATGCTCATCACCAGGACAGGATGTTGTGTATAGTTTTTCCAAACTTCAGTCTGTTCAATAACAAAGTGGGGGCATTGGGTTGTATAAGCTTATGTATGCAAAGTGCTAGTATAGTACCCAGTACATAACAAGAGATCAGTAAATTGTTCGTATCATTTTATCATTTGCAGAAACTTGGCACTCCATATATATGCGATGTTTATGAAGTGTTCCCCCATAGAAATGGGTTTTCTTTTTTCCCCCCACCAATGATAGCAGTAAGCATTGAATGGACTTTTCTAAACTTTCATGGAGACCTAACAATAGGACTGTGAACAATCTAGGCAGGTCAGCTGTTCTAAATGGATGAAGTATGCGACAGTCAGTGACTAAACCAAATGTCTCTCTGCTCTGTCCCTCTGCTTGTCTCTAATGGTTGAAACTATACTGTTAAAAGTCTCTTTTTCTTTTTGTATTATTAGTAAGTTGCCTCTGTTAATATTTAAATACTTCCAAAAGGTAGAATTTTTTTTTCTTATAACCAAGTAAAAGTCTTAATAAAGGGGCCAGGGATTTAGCTCAGTGGTTTCGCCACCTGCTGCGCAAGCACAAGGACGGGAGTTCAATCCCCGATCCCCAAAAAAAAAAAAAAAAGTCTTAATAAAAAAATGGATCACTTAGACTTCCCCGTTCATTCATTTGTTAGTCATCCATTCAGTTTGCTCTCTGTGTTGGGCAGGGACGTCCTTCTAGAGAAGAAGCCTATTCTGTCTTCTGTTTCAAGAGGCTCAAAAAGTGAATTTTTCTAGGAAAGGCAGGAGGTGTGAGATCACACACAATATTCTGGGCAGGAAGGAGGTAGAACAGAAAGGATCTCTGGCTAAGGGGAGGGAAATGGCTCCAAATAGTGTGATAGTGGGGTGAAGACAAATTTTGCTTTCTTCATCTGGATGCAGGCTCCAGTTTTTCCCCTGTTTACTGCCTAAAGTAGAATCTGTTGACAAATGCCTCTCCTTGAGTGGCCCATCTGCCACTGGCAACTCTAATTGCGGTCAATTACCTCATCCTAGCTGTGTGACTGCAGAGCAAACTCCAAGCGAGCTAAACGAACTATGAAAAGTGTGTCCTCATTTATCTCCTTGCTTTTTATAATTGGAAAAAAAGTATTAAAATAATGAGCCTCTTCCCTCATGATCTGTTTTCCTTTTGCTTCACTCAAGAATATATTGCATAGCAATATTAATCTTTCTTCATGAAGCAACAACATACAAATGCCATATTCAACTAAAAATAATTTCTTAAAAGTTAAAACTTAACTTCCTATTTAATGCTTTGGAGTCAAGGACATATTTTCAAGAGAAATAGGACAAATTGTGAGAAATGCCTCCCAAGCTAACCTATAAAGATATTTTAAACAATAAATGACAGAAATAATAAAAACTATAAAGGCACCATTTTGGAATAATATAACTCATTAAGTAAAATGATAATGAAAAATTTCTGAAGTTTTATATATATAAATTACATATTTTAATTCTTTTTTTTTTTTTTTTTTTGGTACCAGGGATCAAACTCGGGTCCTTGGGCTTGCAAGGCAGGCAGCAGAACCACTGAACTAAATCCCCGGCCCCATATTTTAATTCTTTAGAATTTAAAATTCTAAAATTCAGAATTCTTTAGAACTTTTTCAGAAACTTTTTAGTTTTTTAATTTTTAAATTTATATCTTTGATAGCAAATGCTTAAAGAATACCAAGCTTAAACTGAATTTAGGAAGTGATATGGGAGACTTTGCCTAAATTATAGGCACTTTTGAACATTTATAGTTGGTTGGCTTTTCTTTTTTATTATTAATTCGTCATTTCTTTTCTTTTTCTGGATATGTGTACATTGCTCATGTAACTTACTTATTAGCTATAAATGACTCTCTGACTCAGAGAACAGACAGAGAAGAGTTTTCGGAGGTATCTGGACAAGGATCAGAAGACTGAAAGTGGAGATGAAGTGAAGAGGATGTGTATCGAAAGAAAATGTCAGAGTGAAAAGAAGTCACGCATACACGGGGAAGGTCGTGAAGGATGGAGTGGAGTGGCCTGGGATGTTATTTCAAACACTTTCAGAGCTTCTTCCCACCCAGGGCTCCACTGGCCAGGATAGGCTTGTGTCTCTCCAACTGTGTAAAGTGACACCAAGTTGGGGGGTGGGATGGACAAAGACAGAGTACAAGTGGAAAAAAGGCCTTAATAAGTGCAAGATCACCACAAATCTGATATCTCCTACTCAACAAGTAACCGTGCAACATGACTGTGATACATCAAAGTGCCCTAAGTAAAAGCCAGATGGCTGATAGAGGTCACTGAAGGGACCAAAAGTAATTTTAGGGTTTTTTTCTCATCTATGGATATTCTGTAAATAGATACAAAGGTGATGACATCAGGCTAAGAAGAATGATAAAAATGGAATTATACAGAAAAAGGAACAATACTTTTCCCCTTTCTTACCTCCCCCATAAGTTAACGGACTATTTGTAGCACATTTCACCCAATAATTCTTTATTTGCAAAGTAAAATAGCATACAACTCTGAAAATATGTCCTTTTTGCAGGAATCAAAAGTTATCTATAAAAAACATCAAATTCATGGATGTCACTGCAAATATCCATGGCATACACTAGTTTTTAAATAGTATTACAGATCATATTAATAGTGATAAAGGAACCCAGAGTGGACATTCTACTTAGTGTCTGTAGAACCTGCCTAGGAAAAGAGCTCTGGGTTACTAATGAAAGTCACAGTGTTATTGTGACATACAACCTGGTTAATATGTGTGCAGAGACTACTGTCTGTTCCTCTATTACCCCTTTTCCTTTTAGCAACATGTTGACTGGTTACGGGCCATCCAGGTAGGAACTAAGTATCGCAACCTCCCTTAATTGTTGATGGGACATAATCTGAACAAACGCAATATGACTGGAACTGCTTTAGGCAAGGTCTTGGTCATCTTCTTAAGCTGGAGATGCAGGCTCAGGGCTTCTGCTCTTCTCTTGCCTGCTTGCTTCCTAGGAAATGGTGACATCTGGAGCAATCTCAGAAGCCTTTATCATGATGGCAAAGCCACCTTGTCAACCCTGGACCTATCAGCTCTAAAATGTGGTTTGAAAATGACTTCTTTTAAAGTCATTTTTATTCATTTCCTTGCTTTATATGTCTTTTTTGTTGTTGTAGTTGTTACAGAAGATTTGCCAGTACCGTAACTACCATAACTCAATTGTTTGTTCTAATCTGAATTTAGGAAAACTGAAAATCCTGACATGGGGCAAGAGTAAGTGAGGAACAATCAGCTCAGATTGACATCACACTCCCCATTGAATCAATCACTTCTGTGTTCCTGAAGACTCAATTCAAAGAGTTTAAGCTGTTTGAAGTCTCTGTATATTCACTACCTGTTTATGTACCTAATTCACAGTGATACACATATTTAGTACAGCATTTACAACACGATTTTTTTCATTTACAACACGATTTTTTTCATTTACAACATACATAGCTCTCCTACTAGAACAGTGATGGTGAACCTTTTAGAGCTTTCAATGATACAAACAGCCTGCTGTAGCATGTCTACCATAAGTTTGCTACCACTGTTAGATTCTTTGAGGAAGATTAGTCCATTCGTCTTTGTATACAGGCTGCCCTGAAGAGCATCTGGTTTAATGTGACTTCTCAATGCATTCTTATATTGACGTTGCTGTATGTGGGCCATCTAATGAAAATATTTTACTAATGTTATAACTATTCCAAGTTTCTTTAAATCACAGTGTCACAGCTAGGATAGAATCCCACAGATCTCATCTGTCAAAGCCCAAATTCTTGCTCCATCATTTTACAGTCTATATGAGAAAGGAAATATCATCTCTGGTCACTTGAAGTTAATCTCACCTCTTTCTGCTTCCACAAATAGTCCTCTCAATTCTCATTGTTCAACAAACAACAGGATTTACAGCCTGAGAAGAAGCTGATTAATGATACCTTCAGATGTGTCACCCTTCCTTGGTTGTGTTACAGTTGTGACCTCCTCATAGGTTCCAAGTTCTGTATCTGTTCCTCAGAATTTGCTGCTTCTACTTCCTTCCAGTTTTGTCTGGTTGTTCTGATGGGGACCTGTTGTCTGTCATTGGAATCTCCAGTCTGATCTCTTTCTTTTGGTTCTGTGTTTCACACAGAGTCCTCTTTCCAACTGGACCCTACCTAGAGAGTACTGTATTCCTTTAGACTTGACATCTCTGGTCTAATTAAACTAGTTCAGACCATTCCTGATTTGATGCACTCTCTATAATTGAGACATAGCTATCTTTCTACAGGTTGTTGCTATTTTCACATTACCTCTTTCTGGGATAGGAAAACAAAACCAGAGGACCGGTGAAATGGGGGTTAGACAAGGAGCTCAGAGAATGGAAGGAATTGAAGTTACATAATTCTAGCCAGTACTCAGTGGTTTCCAATAAATACTTATTAAATTATTATTTATTTCAAACTAAGTAAGTTTTAGAAAAAAATGTCATTTACCAATCAGAAGAGGTGTCTCTCCTTTATTATTTTTGGTGTTGGGACATACTCCCTTTTCTAGTAAAGTCTTTACATTTTCCACCAGACCAGCTTTAACTGCCAAAGTCAAGGGCGTTTCTCCATCACAGGTCTTGAATTCCCAGAGTGTCTTATAAGATGCTGAGATGTCAAAGAATTGTGTTAAAAAATTTTTAATATTTACTTAAACTATATTGCATACATTAGGATAACTCAATATTATACACATCAGATTGAACAGTCACTTGATGATAGAGGGAAGACTAAAAAGGAGATATGACAGAAATTTGCCAAATAATGGTGAAGATTAATAGACGGACATAGACTGCTAATCAAATTGACAGCTAGAAAACCGATAGATATGTCTAAAGATATTTTTTTAAAAGCTGCTGATTCTTACATCTTGATACCTTGTAAAGCAACTCTCCAATCCCTCCTTTTATTATTTAAATTGCATCTGAAATTTTTTTTGTTAAATAAGATGCATGAATGTGGAAATAATGTATTTGAATCAATGTGTCAGAATGTTAGAAAAAATAAAGCCTTTCATGTCATCTATATCAGTCTGTCTAGTTGTCTGGCTTTCTAGTTGGCTGGATGGCTAACTAATTTTCAGGTATTTCTTATTATCTCCTAAAACAGAAGTATGTGGTAAGTAACAATGAAGTTTAAAAGATAAGGCTCTCTCAAAGTTCAATAACATTGTGTTATAACACAAGAGTTATTATTCATGTTTAATATTGGGTTGATTGATGGCAATATTTGATAATGGGTACATTTAGAAAAACTAATGGGTGTAAGTACTACTTGTGGCAATACATAATAATCTTTGGTAATTAATTAAATCAAGCAATAATTCAAGATGAAAGATTAAAACATGGCTTTCAAAAGAAAAATGCTTTATGTTTGAATCAAATAATTCACAATGTATAAAGTCTTTTATCACTTACGATTGATAACAACACATTCCTACCAATCTTTCATATTCTTAGATTAAAGGATGCAAAGGGTGAACCCCAAATATCACAAAATGTGCTAAGTTTTTGGACTCTGAGTTTAAAATATGGGCACTACCTTTTTCAAATTCCAAATAACCTTTCATTCTGTTTCTTATTTTTGCTTGTTATGTTCATTGGGAATAATCATAACTTTATTGTTTTGCTGTAGTTTAATCAAAAGGTATATGCTCTCTTACCATCTAGAACAATTTCAAGTATCTGTTGAACAGGTTGAGTGACAGCTTCGTGCAGTGGAAACCACCCTTTTTCATCAGCTTCATCCAGTGCATACTTGTATTTCATACATTCCTGGAGCTCAAGGATGTGACCTAAATAAAAACATGTATACTGAATGACACAGCTCTGCCTCTGGAAGGTGGTTTCTCCAGTTTATCCTTCTGTAAACAGTGCACCCATTTACCTTGTTTTATGGCCTCTGTGAGTTTTCTGTTTTGGTCACTTAGTGGCACAAATCTACCAGAAAAGAAAAAGAAGCCATATTTATGCTAGTGGTATACTTTAAGGAACCCAAATTTTAAATTTACATTGAGTATTTGGGAATAATTGTAATAAAATCTAAAGGAAATGCACACAAACTGATTACATCCATTTTTAAAATGTAAATGCCTGAGTCAAATGCAGAATATATTTTTTGATATACCAGATTTAAGAACACTAGTAAAGATTATAAAAGATATGGTACTATGTCTAAGGTCTCCCTCAGCAGTGAAAAAGGAAAACATGATCTATTCAGCATCAGAATTACTGGGTTTAGATCTCAGCCTGATTTTGTGATCCTAGGGAAGCCTAGTACTCTCTCTGGGTGTTCATTTATTCATCTATTAAATGATCAGATTAAGTAGGATCATCAAAGCTTCTTCTAACTTTGAAAACTATACTCAGTAGGTGTTTGTTGTTTGGAATGTAGTAATTGCTAATAGACACTTACTTGGGAGCTCATGGTTCACATCGCAAATTAATTTTTCATCAGATAATCTACAAGTGAAAACTGAACAAACTCCCAGTCACTGGAAAACAGGTCGTGATTTAAACCCTCATGGCAATTCTCTGGTTTTGTGTGTGTGAATTAAATAGGAACATGTAATTTCATGAAAACATTTAACTATACTAATAGAAATATTTACTAGCATTCTAGAGTTTTAATGCCTTCCAGGAAACTCTCAAGTTCTAATATCTACTGATGGTGAGGGAAATTTTTAAAAAACTAGAAATTTAAATGTATTAAGTCCATTTTAAAAGCTCAAAAGTAATAATTTGATAGCACTGAGTCTATTTAAAAGCATTACTCAATTCCAGAATATAAGATTGTAAATATGAATGTGAAGATTCTAAATATAGAATGTGAAAGTAAACTAAGGTTTATTTTTTTCAGAAATATGTGTTATTCAAGGCAGAAATTTACTTTTGCAGTTTTAGACTCCGTAACTCCTACTTATCTAATATGTTAATTAAATGCATATTTTAATTTGTTCATTTATAAGGATTACCTGAGACAGTAGCAGAATGTGCTGTATTATGCTCAGATCTCTGTCTACCTATCTATACATTTGTTGTATAAACTATACTTGCAAATTTGTTCAAATTATACATTGTCTTTTTCTTTTTCTTTTTTTTTAAGAGTAGGAAAAATTTATTGGGAGAAAGAAAGCTTCTGCCTAAGAGAGACAGAAGGGGGACTGGAAAGTGGGTTCCCCCTACACATTATCTTTTTCATTCCCTATTACTTTAGAAAATAGGAAATTCTATCCAATCCTGTTCAACTAGAAATTTTCTATTTTCCACATGAGGTGGAGATTTGTAGAAGATTGGAGTATTAAACTCTGTGCACAATGGCCTTTGCAAGGCAGTTAGATTTTCTGCTAGAAAAAAAGGGAAACATTCCCCTAGAGGAAGAGGCGGGATATGAATGCCATAGGAAATTTTTTGAGGATAGTGGATTAGGATGCTACCTTTCAGGATGAAATACAGTCTGACTGGCTTCAATGGATTCTTGAATACTAAGCTGAATATCATAACTTGTAAGAGTATCTTCATTGAGGTCATCATTAGGATCCATACCTGGATATAATTTTGAAAGAGGCAATTTTTTATTATCAACAAATAATACTGAACATCAGGCAGGATTAACATTACAAAAGCAAAATGAAAAACTAAAGTGCATTTACCTTTCCCCATTTAAGAAATATAAATGCAGTTAACATTTTAATCAATATATAGAGTCCATTTTCTTAACTTGGATGTTCTAACTGTTGAAACCTTCAATTACTGGCCCATTGAGCATCTTTTAAAAATTTTTACTTTCTTTTCAGTGTTGGCTGCAGTTGAGCTTATAAGAACTCTCTTTTTTGCAAGTTTCTGATCCATACTAATTTTGGCCTATTTACAGGGCACATTAGAAGTTTAAAACTCAACCTAAAAAAAGACGGGTCAACGGCATTAATGGAGAACAGTGATTCGTTCACATTTTTACAGACCTGCAGTGGTCAGTTGTAAGGTCTGGCTGGGCTCAGAGCATCATTAGAACAGTTGAGATAAGAATCTTCTTAACTCCATCTGTTGACCAGCATTCCTGCTGTACATTTCCCACTTATTCTCCCATATAATTCTGTCTATCCATTATTAAGCCATTATAAGCTTCTCACTGGTCTATCTCTTCTGAGGATAATATACAAAAATGTAAATTATTCTTCATTGGCTTATTTCTTCCAAATATCAACTAGAAGAGTGAATATTTATTTTTACTATTGGGTCAATTGTTTTATTCTATTTGGTGAGAAAATTAGTAAGTGTAGAAATAAAAATAATTCTACAGATAGGTCTACTGAACCAATATGAAAGTATCTAGAGTTAGTAGTACTTTTCAAACCAAAATATATTCTCTGTATAAAATTTTATATTGTAGTATGTCTTTTCAAGGGGGAGAAGACAAAAACTCTGTGCAGGTGATTTGCAAAACACAGCTAACATATGACGTACAACTCTTCTCATTCTTCAAGGTTAGATGGTCTTAAACTCCAGGCACAGTTCTAAACATGCTCAAAGCCAAGGTTCCCTGACCTCTGGATGGGGTGCACACAAACTCAATAGCATCATTAGGATTTTATTGTTCACCACTTCAGAACAGAGGGGATGTAGAGTAGTGATAGTATTCAGAGGTCACTGAGGTGGTAGCAGAGCTCCACTAAGCCAAGCACTCCTCACTCTGGGATATTTCAGCACCCTACAGGTCTTCCTTGCCAAATAGATCTATTTTACTTTTTACTAAGTGTTTATTTGTTCATGGTTTCCTCCCTCTGGAAGTTAACTACATAAGAACAGGGAGTTAGTCTGCAACCTCAGTTTGCAGAGAAACATAGACTCATGGTTTTATGGTCTCTAAATGCACGTGGAATGACTTAATGAGTTAATAAAATGACACTGGAACATAAACCAGGCTCTGCTTTGTTCTTACTATTGACCATTTCTCTCAGGAATGGAGTTTCTTCCACCTAACCAAATTTGATTGCTCATTGTGCTTGGCTTCATTTCTCTCACTTCTGTGCTTTTATACCCACTTCCTCTTTGTTCATACATGAGGTTCCCAGCTGTTTGACGACACCCATGGGCCCCACTGCTCCATGCCTGGCCAAAGACTGCCCTTCTATTGGAAGCCCTTACTGGAATTCACTTCCTCTCCAGTCTTCTTTATCAGTGAATATTCCTTCTTATGTAACATTTTCCCAACATCTGTATTTATACTCATTCTAATTTGCTTTGCATTTTTTTCACATATTTGTGTTTTGTGTTCTTAGTTTTCTTGGAGGAAAAATCACTTTCTTTGTGCTGTACCTAGTATTGAACCAAGGGTTTCCTCTTTGCTAGGTAACCGCTCTACCACTGTGTCACATCTGTAACTCCACTTTATTTTTTCTTTTTCTTTTATATCTTTTCCTTTTATTCCCACTCCCAGACAACTGGGGCAAATTGCTTTCTTTAGTGGTCACTGGAAAAAAGTTGCCTGTTAATTACCAGTGAATAAGGACTGAGTCCTTCAGTTGACACAACTGGATAACAAAGTTAAACCTGTGGCATTGCCTGTTTTCTTTTACCATGGCGATGGGGGAGTTGCATGGCTCTGGGATTAGTAATGGAGCACAAAGCTTTTCACTTATTTAAATCACCAGTTGAAATCCAACAAAGGGGAAGGGGAAGTGAGAGAGGTAGGGGAAAGGAAAGAAGGGAATGGAATTAATATGAGAAAATGGAAAAATGGAAATGAAGTCTTTGTAAATAGGGAGGGATGGAGGGGTTGAAAGGAGGGCAGGGGAAAGGGGAAAACTAAGAACCAAGAGAGATTATGTAAAGGTGCAAATTTCCAATGATGAATGTAATCATATTGTATACCTAAAATGTACCAATAAAATTATTTAAAAAAAGAAAGAAATCTGGGCTTCTGGTCCACAAGACACCATGGGCTCTGTAGGAACTAAATTGGTCTGGAGATTGAGTTTTGGAAAGCTTTTTTAAATATCCTTTTAATAATCATCAAAAAATGTAATCTAGATTCTGAACAGTTTTGTATCCCTAATGACAGCAGGGCAGAGATGACAGGCAAACCTACATGAGACAACTCCAATCTAACACAGGCTCCTCTAGCCTCATACTGACAGGTTGGGATGAAGGGAATGTGTGTGCACACTCACTGAGGGGCCAAGTCATTGAAGTAGTGTCACTGAGATGGGCTTAAAGACATCAAGGTATAATGAGACAGGCAAGAAGAGAATTATTTATATTAACTGCAAATTTAAAACAATTAGGACTCAATCTTTATTGAAGGCCAGCAAGTCAATAAGAAATTATTTAAATAAAGCACCACTTCAGAGTAGAGGAGGCAAGGTCAAGTAATATATTGACATCCTTTAAGATCTATTCACAAGTGTGTCATTTCTCAGTCTATTTAAAGAAATTAATTGACTTTCTACTCAATTTTATTCTCTAGAATCCCACTAGTGAGATCAGTTATTCTTTCTTAGTAGCTGATTTACAAAATAACTGAGACAATCTTATTGTAAATTAGCTTTTTCATTTAAATCTTGCTGAGGGTCAGGAACACATTTGATGAAAGCTATGGATTCTTTCTCAAGAAGCACTTGTACCTACTCAAAATTCTGCATACAATTTTGAGGAACTCATGGATCATCTGAAACTCATGTACCTATGGTATTAAAAAAAGTGAAATTCAGGGTTTTTAAATGCTAAACTCTAAATATATTAGCCAGACTTTAGTAATTATTTTATTTTACAAATGGAATGAATCAAATCCAAAACTTAGATAATGACAGAGTTTGGCAACCATGTAAATTTTAGAATATGTTAAGTTAAAAGAACCATAAATTATTAGTGCTGGCTTTGTGTTAAGCACCTAACAAAGCACCTTACCTACATTACTTTGTTAAAATGCTTTCTTTAATGCTGTGTTGTGGGTATTATAGATCATTGTGGATAAGTGGAATCTTAAGCTTCAAGGTGTTAAAATACTTGACCGGTGTTGCAAAGATAACATAGTCTGAGCAGAGAATAACTTCACTTCTAAGATCTTTCAGGAGCTGTAGGAAAACATCTCATGGCCTGTTGCCTTTAAAATAAAACACTTTGATCCTGCTCTTAACAGCCAGCTCTTGATGACAATAACTTCCAAAAATAATAAATAGCTTCCAAAGACACATAAATCTTTTTTCTTTGGCTCTGTGAAATAAGGTTTTGTGTTGCTGAGGGTGGTCTGAGGTGTCTTAACCCTGCTTTTATTCTGTACTTTTTGTTTTGGACTTTAAACATCACTGTCCAAAAAATAGGATCAACATATCAGCTAGTGCCTGACTGAAGTGGTCAGGAGGCTGGGATGTCGCAAGGTATGATGCTGGAGTGAACATGAGTACATGACCCTTCCTTGCAAACTACTTCCAATACTTTCTTCATGCTAATCTTTGTGTTAAGGTGGTTGATAAGTTTGACACCCTTCAGAGGGTCCTTTAAAACATGGCAGTACTCATAACATAGAAGCACAATTCTCCTTTTCCCTGAATAGGACAAATATAACTGTGTTCCTCATGAATTGTTTAGTTGGTTTGGTCCAGATCACACCCAAGTTCATCACCCTGCCTACCCTAACACTCTGTCTTGGGGATAATAAGTTGGAACAATATCTGTGAGTCCATAATAGGGTTGGCCTTAACAGTGGTCTAAGTGGACGGTTGCTTCCATGGTGCAAGGAAGGGCTGTGTGTCCATAAATATCACACTGCCCCAGCACCTGTTGTGTCAGTGCCATTTGTTACATCAGTGAGAGATGCTACCATTTAGGGCACATTGTTATTCCAGTGTTTCTTTTAAAATGCCAATATCACCATACTGGCAATCAGCATAGAACCAGGACTTCTTGGGAGAATTAATGGGAATGGACTGGAAAAAAATTATATGGGATGACGGCAGATGGTCCAAGGTGGAGATCTAGTTGGAGGTGATAGAGAAGCCAAGGAAGAGCATTATGGCAAAATTTGAACTTCTTTACAATTTTATACAAGTTAAGCCCAAACTGAAACCCTAAATTTCTGAAGGAACTATGAATCTCTGCTGTGTGGAATGCAAGACCCCGATTTGCAGAGAAATTTTTCCTTTACCTCAAAAATGCTATGATTCTTGGTTGCTGAGCTCATCTAGTGAAAATCCAAGAGACAATCATTGGGACTTATCCTATCAGAGAAAGAGCAAGAGTTAAATAAGGACATTATTTTTAAGAAAATACAGTTATACACAAAATAATATTCATCTTCAGTTTTCTGCACTTTAACCATTTATAGGTAGTTTTAAAGATATTATAAAATTATTGCAAATAAAATTTTGTTTTAATTTTGGTGTTAATTGGGTAGTTATATACGTTTAGTTTTTCAGAGCCCTGTAGCACAAAGTGCTGATTCAGATAAATGGCTTGTACTATATTTTCATCACTGGGACAAAATATCCAACACCTGCAACTTAATGAAGAAAGAGGTTTATTTTGGCTCACAGTTTCAGAGGTTTCGGTCCATAACTGGCCAACTCTTAGGTAGGAACATCATGACAGATGGGTGTGGCAAGGTAAAGCCCCTCACTTCATGGCAGCAAGGAAGCAGTTGGAGCAAGGAAGAGTCAGAGGAAAGATGCACCATTCAAAGTCATTTATCTAGCAATCTACTTCCTCCAACCAGGCCCCACCTCCTAACAATTCAGCTATGAACTCATCAATGGGTTTACCCATCAATGAGGGGAGTGCTCTATCATGCATCACTTTCTAAGGCCCACTACTGAACACATGTTCCTTTTGGGGGACATTTTGATTCAAATCACAAGATGGCTTCATTTGGCTGATTTCAGCAACAAAGCCAATTAGCCTCCAAGAGTTTTCAGAGAGAGGTATTACTCCCTGTCAGAACTAGGTTCCACTTTATAGTCACAGGTAACTCTTACTTACAAGTTACAGCAATTCCCTTCTTATGACATTGGTCTTTTCTACTAGAGAGAAAGTCTGTAGCTGATGGGAAGAACTAGATCAGTTCAAACACCATCTTTTTAAAAGAAATAGCACATGTTCTGCTAATCCATTTAAAGCACACACACACACAATGTACACACATACACTTGTGCATGCAATCAATTGTAGTTCAGAAAACAAATACTGCTTTTGCGTTGCCTCAAAGATATACAACTTGACATTAAAAAATAAAAAAGTAAACTGGACAAATTGGTCTCTGGACACTAAGTATGATACTTGCCATCTGATGAGGATTCAGTTATGTGTTGGCTGAGTGAATGAACAATGCAATGACCAAATATACATTGCTTTTAAAATTAGCCAAATAATAGGTCAACCTTGTATTTTCTTTTTAGCTTATATGACATTTTTGCCAAACTACTTCCAATTTGGTGTTGGACTGATTAATGTATAATTTCTATGTAAATACATTAATGGTAGAAACTGTCATACTGCTTTTGCTTATCTCTGGTTTCATATTACAATAGTAGAAATTCTTACTCTGTACTATTTATTTACAAGCCAAATCCAAATATGACAGAAATGTAGGAAGATATCTAACAGCTTTTGAAAATGACAACAGTGCAAGAATGAGCTTTAGGTTCACAAGTGCACACATTTCCAGGGGGAATATAAACTTACAGAATAAAAAATAGTGAGAAAAAATGGCACATGAAATAGATGGGCTCTTACAACAAACTAATGTAATAATATTTTTTAAGTAGCCCTGTCCTTTGTCTGAAATTTTACATGTAAAGGTCTATCTTACAAAAATGATCAGAGATGTGAGAAAAGATTTATAAGGTTCATCTCAGTAGTAATTAAATTGTCAAAACCTTAGAAGTTACATACATGTCTAACAATAGGAAATTTGTAGGCGACATTATTTTATATAAAAACAGTAAAATATAATAGTTATTGGTTAATGTATATGAAGAATATTAATGTCATGGGTAACACTGTATTTAAGGATGATGTGAACAGCCACTTTTTTTTCTTTTTGGTACCAGGGATCGAACTCAGGACCTTGCGCTTGTGAGGCAGGTGCCGAAACCACGGAGCTAAATCCCTGGCCCAACAGCCACTTTTAAGTAACTAAAATTGACTTTATTCCAATTTTGTTGAGGTAAATAAAACTAATATTTACAGTTTTAAAAATTATATATTTAAGGTGTACAACTAATGATTTAATATACATATATATTGTGAAACGTTCACCAAAATCAAGCAATGAAAATATCCAGGACTTTCCAGATTTATTCCCAAATTTCTTGGTATAATCATTATGAAAAAATACAAAATTCCTCAATACTTTAAATATATAACTAACTTATGGCTCAGCAATGCCCCCTCTGGGTGTGTTTCCAAAGGAACTGACATCTGCCTTTCCATATTCATTGCAGCATTATTTATTATAAGCAAGACATGGAATCTACCTAAACATTCATTAACAGATGAATGGATAAAGAAAAGGAGCAATATATTTACAATAGGCTATTAGTCAGCACTTAAAAAGAAGAAAATCCTGTCATTTGTAATAACAAAGATAAACCTGGAGAACATTATGATGAACAATATAAATCAGACACAGGGAGACAAATATTGCAAGATCTCACATATATGTGGAATTTAAAATGTTGCATTCACAGAAACAGAGTTAAATGATAGTGCCAGGGCCTGGGAAAATGGAGTACAGAGAGATTTTGGTCAAAGGGTTGAAAGTTTCAGTTTTACAGGATGAATAAATTCTGGTTGTCTACTGCACAATAACTGTATTGTATACTTCAAATTTGGTGGGAGTGTACATCTTAAGAGTTTTACCAAGAACGATAAAGGAAACTAAGACTGACTTTGTGGAGCCAAAGTTTACAAACTCATTTCAAAAACTGTCCTGGCATCTAACTCTCAGAGCCTAGCAGGCAAGGAACCCTGGCAACCTTCAGAAGAGAAGAACTTGCCCAAATTTATAGCAAAGCAGGTGAAAGATGGTCATTTATCAGTCATCTCTCCTGTCATTGCAACATCATACCCAACATCTACAGGAGAGATACATCTCAGGTGTATTTAAACTGTCAAAACCTTAGAAATAATAATAATTTGGCTCACAGTTTCAGGGGATTCAGTTCATGGTCAGCTGGCTCTAAGGCAGAAACATCATGGTAAGAAGAATGATGGAGCAAAGATGCTTAGTTCATGGTGACCTGGAAGCAGAGCTGGGGAACAGCAAAAGAGGGAAAGGAGTGAGGGACCAGACATGGACCTCAAGTCACAGCACCATGATTCACCAAGACTCACCCAAAACATGCTTTCCTAATTCCTGGACAGCTCCTAAGCCAATACAACTGAAAACCCCACTTAACTCTTACTGGTGGACAAAGTTTCTTGGCTTGGGAATGAGCACAAAGCTGAAAGATGGATGCATTCGTCTGACTTGTCAAAGCACAAGCTTTACTAACCTAAGTTATCATATTGTCTACGTGAGACCAAAAGTTATTTTTCGCTAATTAGTGAGTAGTCATTTCCAAAGAAGGTGAAGCTACAGTTTTTTTTTTAAAAAGCTACTTTTCGTTTACACAACTGAGTTGTAGCATAAGTAAAAATATTTTGACTACTTTAATTAGATATAACAGTGAAAAAATTTTCTATACTTTAAAAAGCACTACTTTTATACACATACACATTTTCTCTCTAACCAAGCATAGCGTATTTTGTTGGACATAAAATTCCTGTCATAAAATTAAGTCAACTACTGTTCTGTTTAAAACTTAAACAAGAATGAGCTGTTGCATTTTTTAGCATCTTGTTTTGAAATCATATAGATGCCGTTAATTTCCTTCTGCTGGAAGTGGTTGAATGCAGTGATCTGTTCAACTGCTTGCATTAGCTGCCTAGTTAACTGTGTGTCATGTGTCACAGTCAGTAAACACTGCCTGTTATTATTCAGTGACTGAACTCTACTACTGGAATAGGGAAGTGGGATTGCATGTTTCAGCATGCTTTAGTTCTATTCCCTCCCTTGAACAGGCCCTCTGATTTCCCTCCTATCTTCTTCTTCCTTTACCCTGGAACCAGCAAATTTCAAGTCTTAAAACCATCAGGTAGTCCTGCCTGTAAATCTCATCTACTACCGCCTAGCAAGTACTTGGCCAGTCTCAGATGAAATCCAAAGTGCCAAGAAACCCATCCCCCACCACCCACACACAGCTCTTCATCTTTGACCAGCTTTAACAATTATGAAAAACCTAAAGTCAAATTCATCTCTTCAAACCATTATTTGATAGTATTAATTGTCTTTTCCCCAGAACCACACTGAAAAAGTGTTCTTTCTCTGGGTTAAGAGAACCCTTTTAAATATTTCCCAGGAAGACTGTCACATCTCCCCTGAGCCTTCTTGCATGCTACTCTTTTTTTTTTTTTTGGTACTAGGGAATCAAATTCAGGACCTTGTGCTTTCGAGGCAGGTACTGGAACCACTGAGCTAAATCCCCAACGCCCTTGCATGCTACTCTTATGACATTGCTTAGGGTCCTTCACCATTTGATTGCTTTTCTGTAAACACACTTATCCATCTCTTTCTAGAAGTGGTTCTGGACTGTAGGTTTTGAATGCAGTCTAACTAGTGCAGTCAGACCAACACAGCATTAAGTGGGTAGACCACCTCCTTTTCTTGGACAATATACATGTGTAAATCAAGCCCAAGATCACATGAATTTTGGGGTTATTGTGTTACACATTCAACTGGGCCCTTGTCACCCCCAGTTCTACAAATTATGTTACCCACATTATTTGATGTGTAATTCTGTATAGGATTCTTTATATCTATTACATTTAATCTTTTGTAGGTTTCACCTTTATTCCAATTTACTAAGATCTAATGCATTTTCCATCCCTCCAAGTATTCCATGTGCAGAGCTAATAAGCATGTCTTATATGTCCTTATGCTCCATTAGCAATGATAAATGTTGGAGAGAAATTAGTGCAGGGCAGGAGCTCCAGGTTGACATTGATCCATTATTTAGCACCCTTTGAGAGAAGCTGTTTATCCAGTTACAAGTCCTCTTAAAGACACCACATCTAGGCAGTGGGCAGAGGCCTTTCCCAGTGTCCCTGGGGTGGGCCATGTGCTCGGCCCACAGGGCTCTGGGGCCATCTGGCTGGATTCAGATCCTGTCACTACTAGCATACAACAAAAGATGGAAGTAGCGGGGCTAAAGCCAGCAGGATCAGTAAATTAAGAAGGACAAGAAAGAAAGTTACCAAACCACACCTCTGCTCCACTCAAGCAGGAGAAATGAACTCATCCACGTCAAATGAGAGGACCAGAAACCTAACGCTGTGCCACAAACGGAGATTCAAGCCTGCTGAATCTCATCTGCCACACAATGACAAGGACGCCCAGGGTCGGACTACAGCCACAAAAACATCACCTCCTAAAATAGCAACCCGTGCTCTGGCTGGTGAATTTAACCCAAACTCTGCGCGCTAGGAATAGCACTCAAATTTTGACTCCACCTCAATTTTCTTCGAAAATGAAGCATATTAAGCAAGAGATGACCAAAAATCACCTCCAGTTTGTGCGTTTTGAAGCAACAGACCTACATGGTGTGTCTAGATCCAAGACTATCCCTGCATACTTCTTCCAAGTGAGCTTTACATACAGTTACAGCTGAATGTAATTTCATGACCATTAGCAAGCAAATGGTCCTTATTATTCATCCTTATTTTCTGTAATCTACATAGCAATTCAAGCTGAAACACAGTATCTTTACCTTGTTTTTTCCCTGGTCCGTCTCCAAACACATTATTGTTCCCCAAGGAGCTTAACATATAGTCTCAGCTCTCAAACAACAATTCATGTACCCAATAGAAATAGAAAACCAATTAAGACTGGTAATTAAAAAAAAAAAGAAAGAAAAAAAGACACCACATCTAGTGTTTATGTCTCCTTTTTGATAACCAGACTATCATTGAGAGATAATTGTCAAATCCCTTGCTGGATTACAGATTCTACTCCATTCCCTTGTTCCACTAGTCAAAAAGAGAAGGAAAAGAATTGACTGCCGGTTTCTTTCTTTTAAACCTATTTCTGACCATTCTATTAATCCATTCAAAACTATGCATTCAGTATCTGCCACTTTTCACACACTGTGCTACACACAACCATTTAGGATTGGTGCCTTCAGGGAGTTGCTGCCTTTAAATAATGTATTCTAGACTTTCCCCCAAAACACCAATTAATTCCCTCCCTTCCAAGGTCTAGTAGAATCAAACATGCAGTAGATCCTCAGTAAATGATTGCTATACTGAATTAATAATTTAGTATTTTAGTACTAATATAGTATTTTAACTATTAACATCTATTGACATAGATTTAGTTAAAGCATATTATACTATGTGCATTGAGTGAATTATATCATTAAATGTTTACGCCATACTTTTCTCCTTCTTTGGAAATGAGGAAACTGAGCACAGAAAGGATGGGTAATATGCTCAGGCTTATATATCTAGTGGATAGTAGAGATGTGGAACTTAAACACCGTCACTTGGTAATAGAAGCCACAAAAGCTCACCCACTATGACCCAGCTGCTGTGATGTAATTAACAAAGTGGATCTCATTCTGTAAACTAGAGTTCATAAGCCTCAGGAAAAGTCTTCTGAAAGAATTTAAGTGAACAACCAGCAAACTTATCCAACTAGTGGAAAATAACAATTTAGTCAAATTTTCATTTGAAAATAAAATACTCTTATAAAAACAAAGTACAAAATGATGATGTTTAACTACAATAATTTAATGCCGTCAAGCACAAAGCAATAATAAAACTTGCTTTGTCTACATCATTGCTATTTGATGGAAATCTAATCATCTTAGATGTAAAAAGTTCCTTACAAGTTGTTCAATTAAGAGCCAGATGAGAGATAATTAACAAATCAATTTCAAGGACTTTCCAGACTCAAAATTCTGTATTAAATTGAATTCAGGTTTTTCCATCTTAATTTAAAATATTTGTTTTCAAATCTGAACATAAAGCATCTATCTTTTGCAACAGTTAATGAAGTCTTGATAGAAATTTATTTTAAATATTCACAAAAATCACTTAATTTTTTTCTCAGAAACCAAAGAGTCAGCTAAGATCCTTCTGAGAGTCATAGTATCCATATTAATTCATTAACATATTTATCCTTGACCTGTTTTCCTCATGATATGACATTTTGTTATGACTGATATTATTTAATTGAGTTGATATTCTATAAATAAATGAAACCACCCTGGATTTATTCTATAATTTAAAAGGCCCTTGACAGGCAAGCTCATTGATGATCAATTGAAAAGAATGAATAGCTATCACAGTCTGTATTTCCACCTGTTTAAAATAGTTCCAATACTGAACTCTTCCACAAACTAGCTGGCAAGGTATGGATTAAATATTTCATAATCTCACCTTTTGGAATGATCATCTTGTCATTCTCATCCAGGGATTTGCCTTCCTAAACCAGAGGAAGGGCCCTAGAGCCCATGTGTTCCTCTGTGTATCTAAAATTAAGTATCCAGTTGGTAGTTAAATTAAGACCTAACCTTGTACAACTGAAACACTAGCAGTTCCTGGCACATGGCAAAGTATTACCCATGACTTCTCTAGACTCTCATCAAGAGAAACACAAGCCATAAGATTATTCGGGTCCTGCCTGATTGGTTCAAAGAGCTCTCAGAGAAACAAATGATCTGCCAGCTCAGCTGCAGGGAGGGTTCCTGCTGAGGGAACAAAACTAAATCACTTAAATAGAAGCAAAACATACTTCCAAATTATCCATAGGATAGGCCTGTGAATTTGTGTATTGGCATACCTGAATCCATATTTGAATACATACTTGTTCTCATTCTTCAACTTTGAGACCCAAGTCAGATCTCATTACATACAACTTACTTTTCCTAATGTATTGATTTCCTTTATTTGAATCGAATAATTGCCAATCTAATTTAGGACGAAGATAGGAGACTCAGTGACATCTATTCTGATCAAGAAATTTTGGGTTAACTTATAGAGCAGAGACTGAAAAGGATTTAGGTTGTGTCATTGGTTGTCTTGAAAGAAAATTCAAAAAGAAAAAAGACCCAATAAAATATATCTTCTTTTCCCTTTCTTTCTTTCCTTCCTTCCTTCCTTTCTTTC